CTTTGGTTTCAACCATATTGTTACTTCAGGAATTTAAGCAACCGAAGTTTATAAAAATGAAAACATAGCCACCTGCCTTGATTAATTGGAGGCTATTGAATGTTTCCTCTTATTTGACAAATGGGTAAAGGTGCGAAAGCAAAGAACGAAGGGGCTTATCCCCCATCCAAAAACCCTCCCAACAATAGGAATTTAAACCATCATCAATCAAATAATCAATAAACATAGAGAACAAAGGAAATCCTTAAACTATAGCAGCCTAGAGGTGCTTGCTAGAACCCTACCAACCACCTGAAGCCCTCTCAAAAGGGTGCTCACAATAATCTTACCCTGTAGAGCATCTGGCTCCATGAAGAAATGCCACACCTTTTCGTCATAGAGCCTCATTATGTAATCTCAGGTTGCCCATGCCATAACTACCAAATTCTAGCTGCTTTGAAGTACCCTCCCACCTGACCAAGTAGGGCCCACCACCCTCATCCACTCTTTCCCATAAGAAATTGCATATTAAACTTTCAATGTTGTTCGGACTGAGACATGCATCCTAAAATATGGAAATAAAGTAGATGGAGATCCCGCTCAATAGCAATTGGATCAAAGTAAGCCTCCTCCCTTGGAAAAAAATCAAAATGGTAGACAAATATTTAAAGGACTATCATATCATGTTACATGATCTGGATATTTGAGTTGACTATAAATATGTTATAAAAAGTTAAAACATATAAATAAAGAGGGGAGTGAGGTTATGTTATTCCGTCGTCACAAGATAACACTCGAGGGAAAGTAAGATGAATAACTATTGATAGTCAAGTACTTTGAAGAGGAAGAAGACTTGATCCAATCCAAGGTGGAATTACTATGTAAGTTTGGTGGCCAACCTTGCGGGAATGAAGAGCTTTCATGCATGCTACATCAAGCTAAGCACCATAAGCCTTTTCGCACTTAAAAAGGAGGATAAAACTTGTAACTCAACAATTTCATTTAACAACGTTCTTGGTTACAAAGGAGTATAAGTTGGCTTACACATGGCCAACCAAAAAACCTTGAAATGCTGATAAAAAAAGCTAACAAGATTGACCCCAAGTAAAGTACATTTGCAAATAAGTAAGATCAATAGAGTTTGGGTCAAAGCTTCAAAAGGTTTGGGCTTGTGCCTTTACAAGAAGTCAATAATAACAATGTCCTAAAAAACAAGTGAAAATAGGTTCAAGTGTTTATGTAGCTTGGTCCAGCCGGCCTTAGAGTAAACACTGGGCTTCATGGGAGCAGCATAGGTTGGACAAAGCGGGCTTGTGGGCCAAGGGTGGCGTCCATCAGGGCTTTCTTGGGGGTTATTCGGGTCCTTGAGGCAGCATGGCAGGATGGCACATGGGTTTCTCCTTGCTTAGCCTTTAGATCATGAGAGAAATGTTTGGCTTGAAACATTGAACTTGTCAGGAGTAATGAGTTCAACATTTGCAACCCCAGATCTGAAAATTTATCCTCCAAATTTTGATCGATTCCTGTTGTTCCACACTTATCATCAAGTTTGGGCTTAAGTTTGTAGCGGACTTGTCTTGGCATTGATGGAATCTTATTCTCTTGTTTTATGCCTTCTAAACATTGTTTTGGCTCTTCTCTGATTACCAACTGGTATTGAATTATTTGTCTGCTTCATTAACTATACATACTATTTTGAATTAGCTGTGCTTATTTCTCATTTTATTACATTTTTTAAATTGGGATCTTGTAGATGATGATAAACCAGCCGAAGGTTCTCAGAGTAACCACAAAAAGTTGGGTACTGCCGGTCTCGCTTTGCATTATGCAAATATTATTAGTCAAATTGATACACTTGTGAGTAAACCAATTAATTTATAATACTAAAATGTTCAATGGTTTATAGTTTTTTTAGGAAAAGAACAAAGTATTCTGAATTAGCATATGTTTTCAAATCAGGTATCTCGTTCAAGTTCCGTACCTCCGAACACGAGGGATGCTTTATATCAAGGACTACCTCCCAGTATAAAGTCGGCTTTACGCTCAAAGCTACAGTTGTTTCAGCCCAAGGAAGAGGTATTTGTAAATTTTACTTGAGTGAAAATTCATCATACTCTACTGTTAAAATAGTCTGCTTCATTGGTTTTGCAATGTGCCAATCTTAATTTTCTGAATTTATTTTGAAGCTTACAATTCCTCAAATCAAAGCCGAGATGGAGAAAACCTTGCATTGGCTTGTTCCCATTGCCAATAACACTACCAAGTATAGCTGCTTACCCTTTATATAGAGAGACAATTCTTATTCTTATTCTTATTCGTATTATTCTTGAGCGTCATACATGTTTTCGTGAATAACTCGGGTTTTATTATTTTTTTCATCTCCTTTCAGCAGGATGTAGTTTTAGTTCCTTTGCTTAAAGAAAATGCTCAAAGTCCAGGAATATTGATTGATCTATATTTTATTACCAGTTTTTTTGGCAAACGATCTGAACGTTTTGTGCTTAAAGACTTCAGTTTCTAATAGCAGTTGGAAGTCGGGTTCTGTGGTCCTCGGCTAATGTTTTTGTGGTTGATCTCTTTTTTCTTCTTGCTCTCCAGGGCTCATCATGGTTTTGGTTGGGTTGGAGAATGGGCAAATACAGGGTGAGTTCTGAACATGCTGCTTCCTTATATCATAATTCCCACATCCTGCATATATTTTCTCACTTACCCAAAAAATCTGTTGTTTCAGGGCTGAAGCTAACCGAAAACCTTCTGGCCAGAACGAGTTACTAAGGATCGAGACACTCTATCATGCGGATAAAGAAAAGACTGAATCTTACATTCTTGAACTGGTGGTATGGCTTCACCATCTGATCAGCCAAGCTAGAGCTTGTAATACTGGAATAAGGTCTCCTGTTAAATCCCCAGTAAGATCCCCAAACCAGCGAATGATTCAGTTATCGAACCAAAAACCAAGTTCTCCGTCCCCGACCTTGACTGTAGAAGACAAGGAGATGCTTCAATATGTGAGTAAAAGGAAACTTACTCCGGGAATAAGTAAGAGTCAGGAATTTGATTCAGCAAAAACCAGGTTAAGCAAGCACCATAGGCTAAGTAAAAGCAGTAACCATTCCCCAACCAATGAAACTAAGAAGGATCCATTCCCTTTACGAAGGCCAAACTCCATCCCAGTTATTGATTTTGACATCGACCGCATGAAAGCTTTGGACGTCATTGATAGAGTTGACAATATCTGAAGCTTTTCATAAACTTGGATGAAAACGCTAGTGTATGCATAAGGTGTAACATGCCATTTTTGGATTCGGTTCGTGTGGTTGGTAGCGTCTATGGTGAAGAAGAAGAAGAAGAAGATTGTTGGTATGAGATGATGGAAGGGGAATTGTAAGGCGTTGGTTTTGTTTTTGTTTTTGTTTTTGGATGTGAAAATATATAAGGTTAATAGCATGTTCATGTTAGAGGACAGCTTTGAAATAGTTGTAGAAATTGTGAGAGGTTTCAGATAATAGCTTCTTTCAGTTCTGTGTATAGAAATACTTTTATTATTTCATAATAATTGAAAGTTGTTTGGATTCTTTTTCTTCTCTATTCTTCTCTGTAACATATATATATATAAGTTTGTCTAAGTCTAGATTTGTTGGATTTGTTAAACATTGTTGATGGATTGTGTAGAAAATATGTTTGTCGAAAGGTTATAACCTTAAAAGTCAATGTTTCGATATGAGTTTCTGCATGTGGCTCGTGAATTAAGTTTGTCTATATGAAAGATGAAAGCTCATTAAACTTGGTGTCAATCAAATGCTCGACAAACTATGCACGAAGTCATATCTCCGCTCGTCAAGAAGACATTCGAGAAGGATTGGAAATGCCTCAAAATGTACTATATAGGAGAAGACATAGTGTTGGCTGTCCACCATCCTTGGGCCATGTGGCCTAAGCGAACTACCCTATGACACATGCATGTGTCACAACGTTGGCGAATATTCCAAGACGAGTGTTTCAGAATACTTCCTTTGAAATGAGTTTTTCAAGGATAGTATTAGGCGGCACATGTGCCGGTATTGTACCCCAGTCCATGTGTCAGAGGTTGGATTATGCACCCGCTATTTGGAACGTATGCCGTAAATAGTTTAGCATGAACACGGGAGAGTCCGATGCTCGAGTGAGCCCGGATGGACGGATTTTCGAAATATCCCGACGAGGTGATCGACCAATGTGTCAGTTTTCAATAGATGTGTCCGAGCGAGCCAAGATGGCCGATGTGTCCCGAGACATGGGACGACATCATGATGCATGGGTCGTGTTATTGGAAACTAGATGATAATGAGATGTGACGTTGTTGTGTCGCACACGATTGAACATGCACGCACAATAACGTGTGTAGCCGAACAAGCTTAGATTCTATACAAGCGATGTTTTGTTGGTGAAGACAAACCTTATTGACGGTCTCATGAAGCCACAAAGCTAGGCAAAAAATGAATATGGAACTTGAGTTCTCCATGAAGTTTGTCGGCTTGTTGTAAGTGTGCCAAGATCATGATGCTACACAGTTAAAATTAACTGTACGATCACGAAGTAAAAATGATAGAAACCCAATGGAACCATCTATGATCTTTGCAATCCAGTCCAATTCTACTAATAAAATTCAATCACGGAACACATTGGTTGTTTATGCAAAATGAAGACCAAAAATTATCCATTATTAGCTCATTCTACCTAATTCGACCCCCGAGGGAAAAGCTCATGCAATCATATACAAAAGAGAGCGGTTCTTGCAGTCCGTTCAATAACTACAACACAATGGTCAATTATGCATAATGAGCTAACTACATGAAAAAGATCCTAAGTGGTCGAGTATGCTTAAGAAATATGCTTAAGAAAGGAATCCGAATTGGCAACTTACTGTGGTTGAGATGATTTATGAGTTCGGTTTGCACCTCTTCTCTTACTCAAATTCCATGAAACTCTTCAGTTAGGACCTACATGAATACGATTGTCTAAATATGTCAAAACAAACACGATTGTCTAAATATTGTCGATATACAAAACAGAACCAATCCATTTAGGAACTGAACAAGTTACAAAAGTACACCATATTGCAATTTTACAGCAAACCAAGAGGACTCAGGAAAGCAAACATCATTCATTCATTCAAGGCTATTAGAGCTCGATCCCGCACCAGATTTTTGGGTGTAGTTACCCGATACCGGGCTAAGGAATGAAAACACATTGTCTACATTCTCAAATGGCGGTCGAGGAAACTCGTGAAACCCCTCGAAATTACACGATTCGAAGTTCAGAGGTGAAAAACAACCAAGAGGATCATCAACACCAGCTTTTGCATCTACTATGGTTTCAACAGAGCTTCCTCCTGAAGCAATCGACCCGAAACTGAAGTTTATGCTCCTAAGCTTATCCGAGCGTTCTCCTTGATCGAACGACACGGCTGCTCCCTTCGACTCGTCGAGCGGAATCGCAGGAGTGTGGCCTTGGAAGAGAGCAATGTGTCCAAAGAGCTTGTCTTTCCTAGAGAACGTTGTCCCACAAGAACAAAGCCACTTATCTTTCCCACAGTGCTTCTCATGTGTTTTCAGATCAGCAATTACAGAGAATTTCTTAGAGTTGCATTTGCTGCAAGTGAAGCTTTTGTCACAATGAGTTCTCTTGTAATGGTTTTTAACACATAGAATGGTTTTCAGAGGCTGAAACTTCTTATGATCCTTGTTCCGTTTGCAGCCGGTGAACGGACAGGAATATCTCTTGATTAGCATCGTCTCGGAACTCGACTCTTTGTTCGGTTTAGCCAGGGCAGCTGCGGTTTTATACTCGTTACCGTGACCCCTCATGTGCATTCGTAAATTTGCATCCCTCTTGAACCCTTTTCCACATATCGGACAGAAATGTGTGTGAGGTGCTAGAATCTCTTCTTTTTCTAGCTGCAGTATTTCGTATGAACCGGGCGGGAGGTTCTCGTGTTCATCGGCGTCTTCTTCGTCCTTTGATTCGTGTTCTTCAACAGCCATGTTCTGTTCCTTCCCACATTTGCTACTTTCCTCTACTTGGGTTGGAAGCTCAGGGAGTTTGGTTCCATTACCACTATTAGTCCTAGGTCCAGACGCAAAAAGAACCCTGTCGAGCTGCTCGAACTGCCCGACCGGAGGAACAGCTGCAGACAACTTATGCTTTACAGAAGGAAGCAGACTACCAGCTGTCGAGATTAACTGAACAATAATCGAAGTTAGATCAGCAGTTATCAGCTGTTGTTGCTGAACTACGAGTTCATCGGGACTCCCCAAGGCTTGGTTCCTCCGGCCGACGATCAAATGCACGAGTTCCTGAAGCTGATGAATCTTCTGCTCAAGAAATGAAAGATTATTAAGCATCGCTCTCGGGTCCCAATCTTGAACTTTACTAGCTAGAAGTCCTGCATTCAGCTCATTACTATCTTTATCTAAGATTTCGATTCGCTGATTTGGGCTACACATTAGGGAGGCCTTCGATTCGATCCGTTCTTCGAATTCTTGGAAAGGTTGTTCCATAGCATAGTCTAAAATGGAAGGATCTACCCATTTCTGTGAAGGTTGCTGAATATTAATATTAGGAAACGATGAAGATTTTGCCCAAACTTCAGAGCTACATAAACTATCTTCAGGCTCCATCTCCAAAGCCTTTTTCTCTACTACAAAGATTCAATACTGTTTGATTTGAATCTGCAACAAGTTTCAAACAAATCCATGATGAACACCATGATGAACACAAAAACCAAAGAACCAAGAACAAACCAATCAGTTTTGCCAAAATTCATCAGCTCAGGAGCTTAGATAGATCAGAGAAGAGTTCATGTTCATTGATCAAACAGAAATAAAGGAAAAACAAGAATGAATCATTCAGAAAGAAAGTCAAATTTCCAAAAAAGAGAAGTGGAACGGCCCAAGCTCACCGCTAGCTGATATTGACTTATTTGGACTGTCCCTTTCTGGCTTTCCCTTGAGGCTTTAAAATGCGTCTGCTAAGGAAAGGTTTCCACGTCCTTGTAAAGGGTGTTTATAAGGTTTGGTTCTCCTCCCCAATCGATGTGGGATCTCACAATCCACCCCTTTCAGGGCCAAGCGTCTTCGTTGGCACTCGTTCCTTTCTCCAATTTCCCTTTCGTCCCTTTCGGGCTTCCACTCAAGGCTTAAAAATGCGTCCGTTAGAAAAAGATTTCCACATCCTTATAAAGGGTGTTTCGTTCTCTTCCCCAACCGATGTGGGATCTCACAATCCACCCCCTTCAGAGTCCAGCGTCCGTTAGGGAAAGATTTCCACCCACTCAAGGCTTAAAAACGCGTCCGCTAGGGAAAGATTTTCACACCCTTATAAAGGGTGTTTCGTTCTCTTCCCCAACAGATGTGAGATCTCACAATCCACCCCCTTCAGGGCCCAGCGTCCTCGTTGACATTCATTCTTTTCTCCAATCGATGTGGGACCTCTGTCAAATCCACCCCCAAAGGGACCTAACATCCTTACTGGTACACCGCCTCGACTTTGATACCATTTGTAACAGCCCAAGCCCACCGCAAGCGGATATTGTCCTCTTTGGGTTTTTCCTTTCAAGCTTCCCCAACCCAAATGCTAGAGAAAGTTTTTCACACCCTTATAAAAGGTGTTTCGTTCTCCTCCCCAACCGATGTTGGATCTCACAAGAAGGAAATCCTCAGATAATCCATTTCATTCAATTGATTTCCCCAAACAAAACATTCAATAATCTCCGTTTACAAATCTAAATCAACAACACAAACCCCAAATTGCAGCAAGCAAGCAGAAACCATCTCACTCAACAAACAACAAAGAACAAAAATAGCAATAAACAGATCAACAAAATCCAATCCATTCCAAAAAAAACAGCCACGATCGAAAGGAAATTTACCGACTCACGATTCCAGTTCATTCAATCGATGAACCGATCAATCAATCTCCTCGATGGCTGCTCCAAATCCTGGAGAGAAAAATAGAAACAAAAAATAGAGAAACGAAAGTGATGTGGGTTATAGAATGAAAAGCGATCGGCGAACACCACGAATCAGGTCCGTTGAATGGGAGTGGGCGGAATCAGAGGCATGAATCGATGTGGGGTTTTTGGGAGTGGAAACATGGGATTAGAAGAAGAAGAATGGGACCCATCAACGTTGGATGATTCTTCTCCATTGGAGTAATGAATTGTATATACCTTTTGACCTTCAGTTCGATCCAATGGAGCGATTGTTTCGAATCCAAAGAGGAAATTAAGCGCGTAATAAAATAATGGAAGGGAATTCTACTGGGGAAGGTTGAGACTGCTGGCTTTCATTTATGATTTCAAAACAGTTTCGATGGAGGATAATATTGTAATTTTTTTCGATATTGTATCTCTTGGAGGATGAACTAAACATTATTTCTAAGACTTAGAAATCTCTTTCTAACCGATCCATTTTCAAATAATCATCGAACTCCTCGAGTATCTTTTTTCTTTGATTGAGTTCATTTTCTACCCTCGTGTTCTTGAGGATCTTCATAACCACTTTCGGGTATCTTTTTTATTTAATTGAATCCTTTTTCTACCCGTGTTCTTGAGGATCTTCACAACCATTTCAGTTTTTGAACTTTTGGTTGTTTTAAATAGCTTGGGCAATAAATTTTTTAATCTATTGGTTTCTTTAGAAAGGGTCGTTAGTTCTGTAGCTCCGGGAGAGAATTTCATGATTCGAAAATGGTCTCGAGTCAAGGGAGTGGTTGGTTGTTGACCAACGGAAAGCGGCTTGTGGCTCAACTTCTTCGATTAGACTACCACGGTTGCGCCAAACATTCCTGAGGACTCACAGGGCTCATGAAATTCGTCAAAGACGTCGAATTTTGCGGTAAGAATCTGCACAGTAATGTCTCTCTTAGATTCTCCGGTCGTAACAACGAATAGGAATGAAACGGCTATACCTCCTATATGAACTGTGGCAGAGTAACAAGATGTGTGGGGGGCATTTTCCTGGGATTCGGATATAACACGTTCCTTTTTTTATTTTTTATATGAAATCCACACTTTGACGAAGGGAGGGGAAAAGACAGGTTCAGGGGCAGTTCAGTCTCATTCATCTTTCGTTTCGTCTTTCCTTCCGGTTCGAAGGTTCAGGGAAGGTTAATTAATAAATCAAGGGGATCTGATCATCCATATAATATACACAAAGAAACTCCAGATATTTGATATCCTTTCTTTACTGTGTATGATGTCGAAAGAGCATCTAGTAGTTAAAAAAACCTCTGACGAGGTTTTACAGTTATATGGGGATAGAATTTATTAGCTTGAAGCTGAAGCTCCCAACAGACTAAAGAAATGGATCAAAAAAGGGGGGACTTCCGCAACGGACGTGGTCGACAAGGAAGATATGACAAATCACATGTCTTCGACCCTGCCCCTCGTAAACAAGATCGTCGAGACGCCTACGCGTGGAGTGGCCATTTGCAGAACCTCGACAAAAATATGAGAGTCAATTATGCTTAAGTTATAGCACTGCATGGGTCGATATGCACACTGCCAAGATCAAAGACCTCAGGGACAAAATCAATAGTTGAAAAAATTAGTATACACGTTAAAGCGAACATAACAGGTAGTCGAGATTCAAACCTTTCCATCTTTATTGTTGTAAATTTATTATTATTTTTAAATAAATAAATTATATATATATATATATATATATATATATATGGTAAGTTTGAAACTAGAGATTAGAAATAGAGTGGACTACTTCACTACTTTCTATGTAAAATCATGTCTTTTAACACAAATTAACATTCCCATATTCTCTTTAAAAGTTCATCTCTTTTATTTTATTTTATTTATTTATTATTACTATTATTATTTTTGGCTTGAAATCTCGTCACTGACGGTACCAATTAAGGTGTACTTTCCTTTTAGATGGTTCAACGATAAGAATGTCAAAGTTAAGCATGCTTTACTTTGAATAATTTTATGTTGGGTAACCTCGTATGAATTTTCCTAGGATGCATGTGAGTGATCCATGTTGGTTTGTGGAGAGAGTCTTTAGTTTTAGAAGCAAGAAGTAAGTAACGTAACCATGTCGCACGGGATGCAGGAAAATGCTAGGGCACGTAGGTATTGAATTAGAGCGGACGTTTTTCAGTAATATGTGGTTTTGGGATGAACCAAGGCAGAGTCTGGAGAGTCTGGTGGGCATTTGCATTCCCTTAAGTCATTAAATACTTTTCACCTCCGCTCTGCAAAACACACACGCTAGAATTACATATTTGAGAGTTCGCGAGGTTGAGATCGTTGATGAGTTTTCGATTTTCTTTTCAGCGAGTTCTAGTGACAAGAACATGTTGGGGATTTTCGGTGTTGTTGAGCTAGTGATTGGTGAACAAACAATGGTTGGAATTGGCGTAAGACTGTCGGAGTGCAAATCGAAGAAGTGAGAAATTAGGGCTGCAGTTTCAGGAGGTGGGTGAAGAAGACGAATTCTCGGGTTGACCATTCGAATCGGGTGAACCATGTTGATGTGGGATTCGACAGCCCAAGGAACGTGAATGAACACAACCCACGACCCATAGGGAATGCGCAACCAATTCGACCCAACTTGAATGTCACTCGCGACTTTCATAGACCCGACCCAAAGTACGTGGCTCGACCACAAGCAATGACCGTGTTTCCCTAGCCACAACCGTGCTAGACGTGTGCTCCTACCCTAGTCGTGGCTCGTCTCGACTTGTTCATCAATGCGCTCCTCGGCTCGGCTCACTAGGCTTTAACCACATATCCAACTCAATATACAATTTTGATACCGTTTCCTATGTTTTCGACCTTCTCAAAACTGTTTTTGACTTTATTTGGGGTATTTGAGGTCGGTAGGAAAATTTACTCAAATTCAATACTTTTTAGTCAAAATGAGGAGTAATCAATGTGATTAGCTAAACTAAGTTTAATAATATGTCTAAGAGTGTGATATGGATATGTTGAGGTTAAATTGTACGTTGAAGGATAATCTTGAAATATTTATAAAATAGTCACGGACTCCGGCCATTGCCAAACAAGTAAGTGACTTTACCGTTGATGTTGGTAGAATTGCATGATGTATGATGATGTGGTCCTTGCATGCGTCATAATGTTATGTTATGCTTATATATGCTATGTGATGACATATGATGCCATATTATGTACATATGTGATGTCCCATTATGCCGTGATATGATGAAATGAAAAACCATGCATGCCATGTTAAGCCATTATTATAGATTATTACGATGGGTGCAAGATGAAATCCATGATGATTACTATGCATACATGACTCATATATGTATCATGACACGGATGAAAAGAAAGAACGAAATGATTATTATTTTATGCTATGATTTTAAACCATGGGAACCTCATGCATTTATGTATGTCATGTACATCAAGATATTTCCTTGTTTTGTTATGTTAGTACGGACGCGTGCCTTCGATATTTATGTTTTCCATGATAATATGTGGGTCTTTCCCCTTTGTGGCGTCCAACGATGCATAAGCACGAAGTCAAGCCCAGAAATACGTATATGAGCTTGCTTGGTGGGTCCATCTGCTTGTGCATGGGTCATGCGTGGAGACGTACCACACATTCAACCTTGTCCGAACTAGAAAGAGCTCAAAGTCACGTTATGTTGTTTCAAAGGAACATTACTCAACCCTAATAGTAGGGTTACTTACTGAATATTTCTTAAAATACTCAAGTCACGTACTACCCTTGTAACGGCCTAGATCCACCATTAGCAGATATTGTCCTCTTTGAGCTTTCCCTTTCGGGCTTCCCCTCAAGGCTTTAAAACGCGTCTACTAGAGGAAAGTTTCCACACCCTTATAAATGGTGGTTTGTTCTCCTCCCCAACCAATGTCGAAGAGGGCGGGATTGTAATGTCCCACATTAGTTGGGGAGGAGAACAAACCACCATTTATAAGGGTGTGGAAACCTTCCGTTAGTAGATGCGTTTTAAAGCCTTGAGGGAAGCCCGAAAGGGAAAGCACAAATAAGACAATATCTGCTAGCGGTGGATATGGGCCATTACAACCCTTATTTTTCAAGTAAAGATAAATTGCCCTTGTACGGATTATGGTGAATGTTGCATATAGTGACATCTCTTATCTAAAGAAGAAATTATAAGGGTTACTGATCATAAGAATTGGATGACTAAGACTTAAAGATTACTATCAATACCAACAAGGTGCACCTTCTTTTTCAATAGCACGACAAAGCATTATGAAAGAACGTGGGTTGGTTTTGTAATACAGAAATACATCTAATCCACTTTCTATTTCGTATATTAGTCGTATAGCAATAATATATATGATATATTTTATATTTTTGTAGGTCGATCGTATATCAATATTATATAATATACTTTATATTTTGTATATTAGCTTAGTTGAGTTGGGTGGATTGTGCAATAAGCCTCTCTCGGCTCCCGATAATATATCTTATGTACTTCATATTTCATATATGAATCATATATCAATAGTATATTTATATACTTTATATTTGGTATAGAAGTTAATTGATAACTCAAATGGTATGTCAATATTCATTTAAAATCCATTTCGAGTATAACATTTGTCGTTACCTAATTTTTGAGGTTTTTGAATCGCTTAAGATTTAGAAGCTTTCGACTCATACGAGCCAAACAAACACCATAAACGGGAATAGGGGGAAGAGGAGACTCGGAAACGAAAGAAAAAGAAGGAAAAAGGACATCGAAAACGACGTTACCAAAGAGAGAGAAAGCTCGTCAGAATTCCTTTGATAATCGGGCGAAGAAGACAAATCCCAACCCGAGATCGGACCCGTACCCCGAACCGAAAATCCTCCTAGATGTGTCCAATGTCCACGGCCCAAACTGTGCCTCAACCTAACCCAATCTACGCATCGGCCTAACTTGTCAGTCGCAAACCGAACCGAAACCCTCAAGCCTAATCCACCTACGGACATACGCCAGCCTAATACTCGACACTGATTGTAACGATTCAGATTTTTCATTTTTGTCTTCTTTGGTTAAGATTTTATTTTTATTTCTATAAATGACAAGATATTATGTTATGCATTTATTCTCGCCGGAAAAGTGCAATTTTCAACAAGTAAGTTATTACCTTAATGGAAATTGTAGCGATTCGAGTTTTTGGAATAAAATAAAATAAATAATTAAATGTAATCTCCCGAAAATCGAAAGATTTCGTGCGAGACTTTTATTACCTAATAGAAACATTTCTATTTTATAAGTTTCCTTGTCCTAAAACCCTAGAATGCC